TGGAGAGGGTGATTCATCTGGCTTGTTTTAATCGTCTACTTTAGGAGGAGACAAATTGTGCTATGGAAATGTCTTTTTTCTGTCTACTAACTATGCAGAAAGTGTAAATGACTGTCTCAGATACAGAAGTCTGCACAGCAGATGTCTCAAACTGAGATGAACGCCACCCTTGGTTTTTATCAGTATCGCATTTTTAACATATGCAGTGAGGTACAGTGTGCTGCTATGGGAAGCCTTTAACTGGCTAGCTGTGCACAGGAGTCTTAAGCCTTAAATCACTTTTGAAGTGGTCTGGACAGATGATTTCAAGGTGTAACCTCTGCTGGGGTGGATTTTCTCTAACGCAGTGCAAGCATCTGTCATCAGTGAGAAAGTGTATATCATCTAAGGCAATTACCTTACCTGGGGTAAGCAGTGCCTTCCAGTGCCTGTTTTTCTTCACGGCCTCAGCCAGGAGCATGGAGTGAGTAGCTCAGGTATAGACATCCTTGCTACAGGTATCTGAAGTCAGCTGAGAAGGGTCTAACCCATAATGGAGGAAACAGAAGGGCGGCTGTTTTCTGGGCTTGGAGTTCCTCATGGGTAATGGCATTGACAGTAGCATCGGAGGTGATTTCCTTCCATTGCTTCTGAATGCCATGGGAGAGAGGTTGGCTGAAAGGGAGGGAAGAGGAGTGGTTCCAGTTGGGATTTATGAAACAGGAAAAGGAATGAACAAAAGGGTGAAAGAAAAGCCAAATTTAGTAACGGCAAGATTTTGACTCTATCACGGCATCTTGATTTACTCTTTTGGGGCATACAGTAGCATACAGAGCAGTGTGCTGCCAAGGGTAAAGGAAGAAACCCATTAGAAGTCTGGAGGAGGATGTCCAGAAATAAAAGTCTTTAATGTCCGGCCTCATCCATTCTGAAAAGCCTTTTTGCCATCTTTAAATTCATGTACATTCTGTTGCCAGCTGGCGCTTGAGCAGTGTTAGAAAGAGAGTGAGGAGCTTCTCATCCATGTGTGGGTTTGAGGTCACCCCATCAGTGCACATGTGACTTGGGTGACAAAAACTGTCCCCATGGGGACATAAGGCCCTGGCAGGGAAGGGTACAGCTCTGGGTGTTACGCATGCCAGCTGGCAGGCAAGTCCACGATGCTGTAAATGACAGGATGGCATTACATGGGTGTATTGTCATCTGTAGTATCTGCCATTTCTAAAGACAGTCTAGCTTTTGGGGGCAGATTACATTCCAGGTATCCTCTGGGACAGTGTCGCATCCACTGGAAAAGGCTGTGTCCATTTGCCATCTAGCACTCCAGCAGCACAGGAAATCATGAGGGCACAATGCAGTTTCACTGATGGATAGTTAAAAGTAATCTCAGCTTGTAACTGCTAATCACCATGTCAGTGATTTTTACCCCAAAATATGGGGCCTGTCATCTTGAAACCCATCATGCCTCGGGTAAGTTTTACTCCATCCAGCATTTAAGTGCATCCAAAGAGTGTGCATCCCTAGAAATGTAAGCCTCAAGCTGAAAGATCACTTTAGAAGAGATACATGCAGTATTGTCTTTTGCTGAAAGTGAATATTTCTGTTGATGTATTTAACACAAAATTAAATGTACCTGGACAAGTCATTCTGTGTATGTAGCAGAGAAAACCAGTAAAGTTTGGCTTTATTTCATAGGAAGTAATTGCAGTGGAAGAGAGTTAAAAGGCAGTGACATTAATGCAAGTTGTCCAAATGAGCTGCTGACTCATGCATATGGGGAGTGGAGTGCGATGGGGAGCAGGGTGGGCGGCTTCAGCCTGTGGTGGGGCAAGATCCTCCCCACTGTCTGTTGTGGGGTGTCCACCAAACACTGCATTATTTTATGTTGAGTGCCTGGTGGATCATATGGTATAGTTGTGATTTTCCCTCTTTTCAGTGATTGCCAAGACTACTGGCGCAGAGGGCCAGACATGTTATCTTGCTGTCTCAGTGATCAATTCTTATTTATTAAAAATAACACAGCTTCAGTGTTATTCACTGAATAACACTGTTAGAGCACCTACTCATCTTGGGATATCATATACCCTACTGGCTTAAGGCGTGTTCCCTAGTGCTAAATATCTTCAGCAGGAGGGCATTAAATTCTGGTTTCCTGCTTCCTGGGGGAATAACTGCAGAGAAGACAGGGATGGTGGGTACCCTGCTAGCTATCTTCTTGAAGGAGGAACATTTTTGCCTACCTCTCCAATTAGTTGCAGAGATGCAATCTGTGAGCGGAGGGAGGCTCTTCCCTGCATTGACACAGTGGCACAAACCCCTCCTAAGCTCTCACTTGGCACCCTGGCTGCCTAGATTCATTTTTCCTGTGCCCGGCTCTCCCTGTGGTCCATGGGAAGTATGCTAGAGTTCATTAGGGTGTGTGAAGAATTTGCTGTTTCAGTGACAATGCCAAGTAGAAAAGCTTGAGAGGAAAGGAAAAGTTCAGTAATCATTGGGCTACATCAAAAGAAGTGTGGCCAGCAGGTCAAGGAAGGTGATTCTGTCCCTCTACTCCACTCTCGTGAGACCCCACCCGGAGTACGGCATCCAGCTCTGCAGCCCTCAACATAAGAAAGACATGGGCCTGCTGGAGTGTGTCCAGAGGAAAACCATGAGGGTGATCCGAGGGCTGGAGCGCCTCTCCTATGAGGAGGGGCTGAGAGAGTTGGGGCTGTTCAGCCTGGAGAAGAGAAGGCTCCGGGGAGATCTTATTGCGGCCTTCCAGTACCTAAAGGGGGCCTACAGGAGAGCTGGGGAAGGACTTTTTACTAGGGCATGTAGTGATAGGACAAGAGGGAATGGCTTTAAACTGGAAGAGGGCAGGTTTAGATTAAACATTAGGAAGAAGTTTTTCGCTCTAAGGGTGGTAAGGCACTGGAACAGGTTGCCCAGAGAGGTTGTTGAGGCCCCATCCCTGGAGGTGTTCAAGGCCAGGCTGGACGTGGCCTTGGGCAACCTGGTCTAGTGGGAGGTGTCCCTGCCCATGGCAGGGGGCTTGGAACTCGATGATCTTCAAGGTCCTTTCTAACCTAAACCATTCTATGATTCTATGATTACGGGACTTGTGTGGTGGACAGCAAAGAGAGTGCTGACAGCTGCCCATTTCACGGTGAAGTTAAAAGAAAAGAATGTACCATTGTTCAGTAAACTGAACCTGACAGGTCTGTGCAGCAAGTGAGGCAAGAAGCATTAGTTACAAACAATGTATTACAAAGAAAATGTGTTAAAGTTATTTTAAATGAGCTAAGGGTTCACAGGCAGCTTTTTTTTCACTTCTAGCTTCTACCATTTAACAGGTAGCTTGTAACCTTTTATTATGTGTTTAATACAAAGCCACATTAACTTTGGATAATTCATTGGCCTTCTGGTGCATCTCCTGTTATGTGGGAAGCTGCCCACACAGTCTTCTACTGAAAACTGGAATAAGTGGAGAGATCAGCAACATCCCCATCTCTCTTAAAGCCGCTCAAAACCACTACATGTTTATACCTTTACTGCTGTACAGTCTTTTTAGATTTCAAGATATCAAACAGAGGCCGCAGTTTTTCCTGTTACAAAATACAGCTTTACTAGGCAAACTAATGGTACTTTTAGCTCAGATCATGCATTTCTTATCTGTAAAGAAATAATTTAATAGTTCTCTCCATTGGAATAAACCTTTTCTTTAATAATGTATTAGCTCATGTAAATACAGATTTAGGTTAACTTGAAATAAAAGGTTTTAAGGGATTTTCCATTCCAAATACTGATTCTCACCAGGATAAGGAAGGATTTTTTGTGTGTGGATCTGTCTTAGTCTGCCTTGAACATCTATAAGTGTTCAGCAATAATGCAGTCTCTCATTGTCCTGGCTGTACTTGTATTTCTCTTTTCACCTTTCAATGCGTGCAGTGACCTCTGGACACTGTTGAAGTTGTAGCTTCTTGGCTTTCAACGTGAATTACTATCACATCCTCCTTCAAGTGAATGGACTGACTAAACTGAAGTCAACCTTTAACAGAAATCACTGCTGAGTGTTGTACGTGGGTGACTGACGGCCGTAGTGATTGTTGAATGGGGTGAATTTAAGAAAGACAGGTGAAAGCCCTAAAGGCAGTGGCCTGCTGCTGAGGTCTGCCAGCACGTTTTGATCTCCGTAGGAACTGAACCACCTAACCTCACTTCGCTCATTCATTCACAAGCTGCATACAGTCTCTGCCGATAGTGGTATCTGCTAGGGCTATAAGAATTCATGTTTAAGGATGTAAGGGGCAAGGTTTTTAGGAGAGAAATTTCCAGCAGCGTGCTCTGCTCAGTTATACCAGGACAAAGTTCCAGTCCAGTCTCACTTGGTGCAGGACTCAAGCTAAAAAAAGTTAGGGTTGCCTAGTTTGAAATGCTCTTCAGGGCAGCCTGTGGGTTGGTCTAATTTTTGCCATCTGGCTACAGCCACAGGAGAGCTGTTTTGCTAAGGATCACTGAGATACTTGGTGATGCAAGTTCAGTATTAATTGTGCTACGTACGTTGCAGTGATCATGCTTAACTGCAGGATTAAATACATTTAAGAAACACCATATTCCATAAGCTGCCTCATTCTGCATTTTCCAAGACAATAATAATTCCAAGTGTTGTTGTAATCACGTTTGCTGCTTTATTAAACTCAATGCCATATTTTTCATTCATTTACACATTCTAACAGCATCAGTTTAAGCAGCGTGTTAAGCCATACTACATACATCAGAGCAACATGTAATTTTCATTTCCCTTTTACGCAGTGGCTCCTAAATCTAGAGGTGATAATTATTATTTGTGGTGTAATTATGCCTTAGTTGAACCAGGGGCTTTGCAATGATCTAAAAATGAAGGACATTTTGTGGCAAGATCTGGTAGGGTTTTTTGCTGGCAAAGCTCCACGTGACTTGAGAAGGGCCGAAGGTTTGAAAACTAAAGTGCAGGCTGGATTTCCTTACTAAGCCTTGTGTTTTCTTTTCCCCAGGGGATGAGCGCTCCCGGGAGTCTCCAGCCCCAGCCGAAGCACAGATGCAAGCGGGGGCAGAAAGCGGTGGAAGGGTGAACCGCTGCTGCTGGAAATGCTCCGTGACACAAGTCAAGAAGATTTTCTGGGGTGTGGCTGTGGTCCTGGGTGTCTGCTCCTCCTGGTCAGGTTCAACCCAGCTAGCAAAACTGACCTTTAAGAAATTTGATGCACCCTTCACTCTAACATGGTTTGCAACAAACTGGAACTTTTTATTCTTTCCTTTGTACTATCTTGGACATGTTTTTAAGTCAGCTGAAAAGCAGTCTCCAAAGCAAAGATACAGGTATGGGAGCTTTTGTTTTTTCTCCTGTGGCTCTTGTGTGCTGCTCTACTTCTAGCAGACGTTTTATTCAGATCAGCCAGTTAAGTCAAGCTTGCATTTGCTTTCCTCTTCAGGTTTGTTAAAGGGTGTTCTGAATTCATTCCATGTCCTGTGCTAGGTGGTATCTTATTATTTTTAATACAATTTCACTTCAACAGGAAGAAATCTAGGTTTATTTCTGATACATACAAGTCACGTAATGAAAGTCCGCATTTTCTGCAATTGCTTCTCAAGAGTTTTCTGTTCAAATCTCTGTGCACATCATTTTTTTATTAATATCTTCTTCTCTACCCACAGCTGACCTTTATGGCAATCTCTGAGTAAGCTAAGCAAGCTTTTCTTTTCCAAACTCAGGACTAGTGCAGTGCCTTGAAGGGCCAAGTAAAATGTATTGCAGTATTTTCCTGGCATTATGCCCCTGACATCAAAGGCCAAGCTGTGATCCCAGTTAAACTCGAGCTGTTGTGTTTATTTCCGGGAGGAAGCGCAGTCATAACCGAAGGCAGCACTTTGTCTTCAGCACACCTTGTCTTTATGGCAAGCCAAACCCACAAAGCCTGAAGCGCTCATGGAAAACTGTGAGTACCCGTCCTCTGTGAGGGGCTAAGGATGCTCTGGCTGCTTGAAGGACTGCCTCTTGGGGAGCGCTCCTTCATCTCAGCTCGTTTTGTCCAGAGAGGTGTCTGGGACAGATGGGATGACTCAGCCATCAAGGTGTCCCGTGTCAGAGAGCTTCCCTGATACATGGAAGGATGTGAACAACGTTTTCCCCTTCTGTTACACAGTGGGGCTCACAGTCTTTTAATGAAGTAGCTGAGAAAGTAAACAGTACGAAGTACACATTTCTCAGTTTCCAGCTGTGCGACAGCAAGGTGGAAACTCACTACAGGAAAAAATCTAAGAAACCAGGATATTTGGGCAATGCTCTACCTCAGATGACTAGGGTTAAGATAAAAATGCTGAAATTGTGCTGCTTAGCCATTGTTACAGCTTCTTCATCTTCTAAATCATTCAGGGGCTTCGGATATAGGAATTTCACTGTTCACTGCAGGTCCTAGAGCAGTATCCAGAAGTTTTAAAAGCATTTTCATAAGATGCCATGTTTCCTGCCCTTTGGTTTGTATTTGTTGTTTACTCCACAGCAAACATGGTTGTTTCAGAGATGAGAGAAGTATGGAGGTTAGAGAAAACAAGAGTTTAATCTAAAAACAGTGACAAGTGTTAGCCCAAAACAACTACCTTTTTCGTTTCTTTGGTTTTTAAGTATTTTTCTTTCCAGCTGCTCTCAGATAATGTTTTAAATACTGCTGAATTCTGGGGTGAGCAGTTGTGGTTCGCCAGATCCCTGGGGTTAAAACCAGAGTATTATACTCTTTGTTGCTGCAGTTAATTGATATGGTTGGTAGTTTTATGTTGTTACTGTAAGTAGGCAAAAAGATAACTCTAAGACTCAGTCTGGAGTTTTAGAAAGCAGGCATTCTTTATTGCAGCGCTGGGCACACAGGGGATCGCTCCACCTAGTGTGCGCGCCCACTTGCTCAACTACAAGGATTATATGCAATCAAAAGATACATATTCATTTGATTTCTGAGACATTATTAACATATTCGTACTATTTCCACAACTCATTAATATATGTAAATGTCCTTGACACATGTGCATTTATGTCTGTTGGTGGTCTTCCAGGGCTCTCTGGTGGTCATCAATAGTCTTCCTCACCATGTCTGCTGATTGAACTCGGTCTTCGCGCATGCTTAGTTTGCCCTTTGGCCTAATTAGACGACACTGAGTTACACAAAACTAGCTCATTCTAGCATACACTCCTTATCTACTCTATTCAAGGCTACTGTGTCTCAAAACCTGCTTTTATCTACCCAAGCATAGCACCTGTTTGACCTATCTGCTCGTAATACATCCCAAAATTTGGGTGTATTGCTGTAGGGAGGGAACCATATGTCCTTCAGCTTGGTATCAGTGTCTTCCTTTTAATTAAATGGTATCAGAGTTGAAGAGCAGGTGCAAGCCATGCAGCCTGTTTGGGATGCAAGGGGACATCATTACAAGTAAGCTTGCAGCAGGCTTAGTAAAGAACGTGCACATGTGTCTGACCAGCAGATTGAATAGGGTTAATTTCCAGAATTTTTTCCTGGTGTCGGAGTAGAATTGGGCATTTGGAGATATGGCTTTGGTTCCTAGCTTTGCTGCAGATTTGTTTTGTGTTTTTGAGCAAGTCACTGCAGACATCTGATTTCCTTGTACTTTCTATTCGTTTGGATGAGACAGTCCTTCAGAGGGAGGACTGTTCCTTACCATGTGTTTATGCAGTGTCTGCTTCGGCATGTCCACTATCTACACTGAGACCTTTCAGTGGTCTTGCACTAAGAATTACTATAAAAAGAAGTACTGTTCATCTGCCTGTTCTGTTACGGCTGAGAATCTGAAAACCCAAGTGTTGTGTTCCAGCATCCCCTCTTAATTATTCCCCCTTTTTGCATATTTTTTATATACGCGTATAGAGAGAGAAAGACATATACAGAGACTTTACAGCTTTACTTGAGGCATTACCGTCTTCAGCAAAGCTTGCACTCCAGGCACAGTTGGACATGTTAGGGAGGCATTGCATGGGCTTCTGAGGAGTTAAAATAAGACAATTCTGACCTGGAACTAACATGCAACTTGCTTAATCATTTGCTGCTTCTTTTATCTGTCACCTTCATTTATTTTTTATATACTATCTAAGCTCTCTGGCAGGCGTTTGCAATGAGATAAATTAAAAGGTGGCAGTGGAAGAAGGTGGAGATATGACATCTAAATCACCTTAGCAGTGAGGTAGTAAAGGAAGAGATTCTCAGTTCTTGCTAAAATCCACAGGAACCTAATTTTTTTGGCAGCAACTCTCCCCAAAAATACCTGCGCAGCCGCCTCCTCCTCAGCAGGGCTGGGCAGCTCAGCCTCCCCTCACCGCGGCACAGACAGTGCCTTCACACCGCTCCTTCCTTGGTGGGTGGCTTCGTGGGGCCTTGGCCAGCAGGAGTGCTTTGGGGTACCTCGCCATACAGCTAAAGAGCATGTAACAGCAGCCATTAGGAAAAAATATACAAAAGAGGGGTCTTAAAATGTAGGAACAGTGAATAGATATATAGTTTCTCCTATACAGGTTATATAGTTTATTTAGGAGGTTAAATTCTTATTGTATTATACCAGTCTGTATATATATATATATATGCTATGATGTACTCATATGAATTTGCATGTTTTGTAGTTCCACACTGTTGTGGATACAAACCAGTTTGAAGCTGCACAGATTTTTTTTTTCCATTTTATAGCACATATAATTGTAATAAATTTGCCACCAAAATTTTATAGTAGTACATTAAATTTAAGAGCAGGTTTATTCAGTTTCTTTATAAGATTTTGAGTATTAGCCCATAACGTAAAGTATTGAGGATTTCTGATTGACCCATATTGCATGGTAAGGAACTTTCTATGTAAGCTGAAGTAGACTATCAGTTGTGTCCACAGCACGGGGAGAGAAACACTCTTCAAAGCAATCCAAAACTTAGGCATTCACATCCAAACTGCTCTAGGCTCCCTGTGCAGCTCCATCAAATGCCAGAGTTGTGCCCAAGTGTAGACTGCTCAGGGACAATTTGTCCCATGCCCACTACCAAGGGTGCCACCCACCCTTGGCACAGGAGTGTGTGCGTGGGGAGTGATGCAGAGAGCTCTGGCAGGCCACTGAAGAGCACGCCAGGGTCAGCGCCGCTCTCTTCCTTCTTGTGCAAGTGCTCACTAGCTTAAAATAAAATTACAGTAACTAAATTATCACTCATTTCAACCACTGTCCAGTCCAGAAAAAACACATGTAATGATTTATGCGCCTAATGGATCATTTAAGACTACTTAATGTTGGCTTCATACTTTTTGCTTTCAAACTGCTTTACGAAATGACACATTTAATCTGATGAGCTACCCTCCGTCATACCTACATTATTAATTGATGAGGTAACATAAATTAAAAGCACTAGAGCTTAAAGTTCCCTGGCTACATGAAAGATTAAATTAAAATCTCTGTGAGATACTGCTTAGCTTTGTGTATCTCCAAGCAGGACAAAACACACCTTTTATAAAGATCCACTCTGTGTGTGCCAACGGAGGGTTGTGTTCACATTTTAGCAGGAGAATACCTCCAGAAAGCTTGCTTATTTTGGTGGTACTGTCTTATCTAATGATTTTTTGAGAAGGAAATGACAGGACTGTCCAGAATGGTTTGCATGATTATTTATTTATTTGTTTATCATTTAGATCTTGATTTTTATTTCATAAAGCATTAGGGCTAAAGAAAACACCAGAAGCTAAAACTAAATCTCTTCCATAACCTTGACTAGAGCCAATGTGTTGGGTGAATGAAAGAATCATCACACATACCTGCACTGATATACAACCACATCTGAACATGTTTTAATGTGTTCTTTTTCACTGAATCAGAGTTTTGTCTCTATACTGCTCCCAAATTAGCTGCCACTAATCTTTCAGAATTTTAAGATTTTTCTTTTAAAAGAAACAAAAAAGTTGTGGGTAACACTCAAGTATAGTTATTTCTTTGAAATGGAACCAAAATACTGGGGGCGACAATGGTAGAGCACTAATGTAGTAGATCTCACTCTGATTTACCAATGTCTTAACTTCACAAGAGTCCCTTTTGCTTTATATGCATATGGGCTCAGAATAGCTTTTCAGTAGCCAGAAATTACCAGTATCATAGCTTCATGTGATGTCCAGGAGAATGTGGGCCAATTTCTAAATATGTTTCACATGTATTTCTGCTCGCATGGAGGAGACGAGGCGCTAGCCCAGCATCCCCAGTAATTCCAGGGGTTTGTCCATTAGTTTGATCCCGACTCATACAAAAGCGCAACTAACTGCCCCATGGGCACTGCCCTCCTCTTCTGCAGCAGGCA